CGGTACCTCGCCCTTCTGCAACCAGTTGTCAACGTTCTCCCGCAGAAGCAATTTCGGTATCTTTAATTCGTCGTACATATTAGTAGTAGAATCAAAGCGCAAGCGCGTCGCGCGCGGGCGCGCGCGGGCGCGCGTACGCGCGCCCGCGCGCCTGCCATTTTTTTGGTTTGACCCGCGGAAGAAATTGTGATTCCTCCCAAATTTGGAATGTTTTCGCGGAAGTTTCAGAGCGCACAGGGATTTTTTCATTTATTTTTTGTTTCTTTTGCGGACGATCTGCGAGCACACGGGCGCGCCTTCTTGCACGTGTCCATGACTCGGCGGCAACCATGGTGTCCCAAATCTTTCATAACGGATTTCCAAAAAGGTGCGCGGGCGCGCGTACGCGCGCCCGCGCGCTTCCGATCTAATGGTGGATGGCAATAAGGATTCCTCCCAATTCCGAATTTCTGATGGCCATTTCCCTCTCTGCGGGCGACGAAGTCGTTGGAATCTTTTTAAATTTTTGTATAAGTTACCAAAACCTTCAGAATCTCTAGAATCATTGAAAATCGTTCTGAATCCTTAGAATCCGACAGAATCCCACAAAATCCACCGGAATTGCTCAGAACCGGGAAAATCGTTCGGGATCCTGAAAAATCAAACCAAACCTGCGGAATCCTTCAGAAATTGCCAGAAGGCGCATGTTTCCTTCAGAATCACAAAAGATCTTGCAGGATCCCACAAGAAGCACACAGAATCCTGCAGGATGTCGCACAAGCCGCCAGGATCCCACAGAAGTACCCAGGATCCCTCAGGCGTGCTCAGAATCCACCAGAACCTTTTGTTTTTTCAGAATCATACGAAATTGGTTGGAGTCCGCCGAAAGCCATGAGGCAGCCCGGGAGGGAGGGGTCTGGGCCCAGCAACAGCCCACCAGAAGGTGCTGCAGGTCTGCCGCAGGCTGCCGCAGGTCGCCGCAGGTCTGCCGCAGGTCTGCCGCAGGCTGCCGCAGGTCTGCCGCAGGTCTGCCGCAGGTTGCCGCAGGCTGCCGCAGGTCTGCCGCAGGCTGCCGCAGGCTGCCGCAGGTCCGCCGCAGGTCTGCCGCAGGTCTGCTGCAGGTCTGCCACAGAGCGCCTCGGGGCGCCCCCGGGATTCCTCACGTTCGGGTTGGCCAGGGGGGCGTCGGGGAGGTTCGAGGCATTTTGCGGCGTTTCGGGGCGTGTACCAGAGTGCGAAGGGTTGCGGGGCGGTTGCGGGCGAGGTTTGGGGTGTTTGGGGGGGGGGATTGTGGAGTGAGATTGGGTTGAGAGCGGCCAGGAGAAGGATCGGTGTGTTCGGGAGTGTTTTCGGGTGTTCTGTGGGGTTCGGAGCGGAAAACAATTTGACCGCGCATTTATGTAGAGTTTCGGTTATTCTGACGGCATCCGGAGGGGCCAAGTGCGGTTCCGAAGGGTTTTAGCGAGTTCGGGTGGGTTTGGTTATATATTTTTCATTTTCCACGTCCGGGGGATTGTATCGTCGCTGCGTCAATGCGCAATGGATTTGGATCAAAATTGAAAGCGCTGTCGTTTTGGGATTGGGAAGAAAGGGCGCAGGGATACCCCAATTGTTGGAAGCGGGTTGAAGAAGAAATTGTTGTGTTTTTTTGTATTGTTCGGACATGGGGTGGGGACCCTTGTGTTATTTGCCGATTTCCGGAAATTGCCGAGGGCTGGGCGGCATTTCGGAAGAGGGAAGGGGGGCCAGGCGGTTTGGATGGCGTCAGGGCGGTCGCGCCGGACTCCCGCATTTTTTCAAGTATTCCGAACCATATTGAGATGCTGGGTTTTCGTTTTGAAGAAACAGCGCCCCGCGTCTCTTCATTCATTCGCCCACTCACATACTCATTCGTTCTCCTTTGTCATCCCCTTCCTCCTTTTCCTCTTCCTCCTCCTCCTCCTCCCCCTCCTTCCCCCGTCATCATCATCGTCACCATAATCGCCATCAGTTTCGGCATCAGCTTCGGCACACCCCTCGCACGTTTCGCGGCCCCAGAGGGAGTTCCACCGAAGGCGCCAGTGCCACCGCACGCATGCGTCACTTACGCCCAATTCGGCACACCCTCACACGTTTCGCGGCCCCATAGGGAGCTCCACCGAAGGGCCCATGCATTTCCACCGCCCGCATGCCTCATGTACACCCAATTCGGCACACCCTCACACATGTCGCGGCCCCACATAGAGCTCCACCGAAGACCCCAGTGTCACCGCCCGCACGCGTCACCGACGCGCAATTCGGCACCTTACACACACGCTTCGTGGCCGCATAGGGCGCTCCCCCGAAGGCCCCAGTACCGCCGCCCGCATGCGTCACCTACAGCAAATTCGGCACACCCTTAAACATTTCGCGGCCCCATATAGAGCTCCACCAAAGGCCCCAGTGCCACAGCCCGCATTCGTCACCTACGCTCAATTCGGCGCACCCCTCACAGGGTTCGCGCTCCCATAGGGAACTCCACCGAAGGCCCCAGTGCCACCGCCCGCACGCGTCACCTACACCCCATTCGGTACACCCCTCACATGTTTCGTGGCCTTGTAAGGAGTTCCGCCGAAGGCCCCATTGCCACCGCCCGCATGAGTTATGTACACCCAATTCGGCACAATCCTGACACGTTTCGTGGCCCCATAGGATGTCCACCGAAGCCCCCAGTGCTTTTGCCCGCGTGCGTCACCTACATTCAATTCGGCAAACCCCTCACCCGCTTCGTGGCCCCAAAGGGAGCTCCACCGAAAGCCCCAGTGCCACCGCCCACATGCGTCACCAACTTCAATTCGGCACACCGTTCACACATTTTGTGGCCCCACAGAGAGCTCCACCGAAGGCCCCAGTGCCACCGCCCGCATGCGTCACCCACACACAATTCGGCACACCCCTCATACGCATCGCGCTCCCATATGGGGGCTCCACCGAAGGCCCCAGTACCACCGCCTGCATGCGTCTCCTTCAGTGGATTTTGCACACCCCTCACGCGTTTCGTGGCCTCATGGGGAGCTCCACCGAAGGCCCCAGCGGCACCTCCCACATGCGTCACCAACATATTCTCTCACGCTTCGCGGCCCCATGGGGAGCTCAACCGAAGGCCCCATTGCCACTGCCCGCATGCGTCATGCACACACACGTCGGAACACGCCTCACACATTTCGTGGGTCCACAGAGAGCTCCACCGAAGGCGCCAGTGTCACCGCCCGCGCGCGCCATTTACATACAATTCGGCACGCCCCTCAGACGTTTTCGCGGCCCCATAGGGAGCTCCACCAAAGGCCCCAGTGCCACCGCCCGCAACATTCAAGTCGGTGTTTTGTGGCCAGAGCTCCACCGAAGGCCCCAGTGCCACCGCCCGCATGCGTCACGTACATTCTCTCGGCACACCCTCACACGTTTCGTTGCCCCGCAAAGAGCTCCACCGATGGCCCCAGTGTCACCGCCCGCATGCGTCACGTACTTTGAATTCGGCACACCTTTCATACAGTTCGTGGCCTCAGAGGGAGCGCCATTCACAATTGCGGTCTTCACAACAGCGTATGTTTGGGTCCCTCGCCAGGCTAATTCCTTAACCATCCTGTGGTATTGGATCTTCGTCGGGAAGAGGCAGCGCCCGGCGTTCTGGGCCATGCCTCGCACGTTTCGGCACATGCCTCACACGTTTCGTATCCCCATGAGGACGGGGCGGCGGCATAAGCCTTTTTGCGCGTGTTCGGCGTAGTTCCCGATGGTGCCACGAAGCGTTTGAGGGGTGTACCACAATGACGGGGTGGTGGCATACGTCCTTTCCAATCGGGGCCTGCTGTTTAGCGCCCCATGGGGCGACGAAGCGTGCGATGGGCGTGCCAAGATTGCACGGTGGCGGCATACGTCCTTCCCCATTGGGGCCTCTGGTGGAGCTCTCCGTGGGGCCACGAAACGTGTGAGGGGCGTGGCAAAATGGCGGGGTGGCGGCATCAGTCCTTTCCTATTTGGCCCTTCGGTGGAGCCCCTTTGTGGGGCCACGAAACGTGCAAGGGGTTTGCCAACATGGCGGGGTGGCGGCATACGTCCTTTACGTCTGCCTCAGGTCCTTGTTGATTGTTACGTCTCCTTGGGGGGGTGCTACATATTGCTCTTTCGGGCCATGATGGAGGCCACGCCTGGGGGCAAGAAATACGTGTGAGTGTTATTTGCGCCCCGCTGCTTTTGCAAAGCGTCTTCCCCGAAGGAATTCTGGCGAGTTTTCAGGCATCGTCTGGCCCCTCCCTGGTAGCCAGCGCCCCCAAGTGCCAAGACCCCATCCATGGTCATCAGACCTCCTGGGGCCCCTCCATCGGAGGATCTGCTGTTCGAGTCTCTTGGGGGACCTTCGTTCTGATACTTGCAAGGGTTTGCTTGACTGCTTGGTTCTACTTTGTTGCGTCTTTGTCCGGCGTGTCCGAGCTTAGCCCCGTTGTGAAGGAGTGTCCCGTTAGCAAAACGCCCCCCCAATCCCTTGCCCACCCCCCTTTGGCATCGGCCACGCGTTCGGGACAGGGCTTAACAAATTAGACCCACCACTTGGATGAGGAACTGGAAATTTCACGAATCCCCCCCCCCGCAAGCGTCGCTACCAGGGGCTACCGGTGACAACGATTGCCCGGCCAGGGCGCCCGTTTGGTTCAAAATGTGTTGTGCGAGCTTCCGTGCCTTTCTTAACCCTTTGTGAAAGGGGGGCCTGGAAGAAAGAGCGGGGGGGGTACCTCCCAGCGTTTGCGCCGACGGCGACGCACCCTTGGAGCCTGGCTGAGGCTTTTTCGAGGACCCACAACAACATAATGGTTTGGACATGGCGCAGCACGCACCCCGTCAGAAAGAAACGGCACACAGCAAACACGACCAGCAACAGCAATCTGTCAGCACACGCCAGCAACAACAGACACAACGCAGCACGACGTATTTCAGGTCAATTCCATACCCTGCCCCCCCATATCACAACTTCTATCGTTGATTTGCCAGCGTCGCTGACCCCCGAGGTGGCAGCCCCCGCGGCGGGCATCGTGCCCGTGCCGTGTTCGCCGGCCAGGGACCCCGCGGCTGCCCAGAACCTGTCTTTGGTGACTGGCTTGCGGCGGCTGGCACGCGTGGAGGGGAAGGGGGGCAGTGGCACGGGGGTAGCGGGCATTGGGCGGAACGAGAGGGGAGAGGAGAGGGGAGGAACGAGAGAGGGAGGAGACATCGGGCAGTGGCACGGGAGAGGGGAGGAACGAGAGCCGGCGAGGGGAGGCCACTCCTGCGACGGATTGGCCCGGCAAGAGGCCCTCGGTGAAGGGCGTGCCCGTGCCCGATTTGCCCGAGCGGATATTGGATTGGCCGCGGCACGAAGCCACGAGGTGTTTCTTCACAGGGCCTGCTTCGAAGTTGCGCCGCAACTTGGGCGCCGGCATGCTCGAGACAGGTTTGGTGGTGAGCTCGGATACAACGCGCTTCGCGCACGCGAAATCTCACCTCCCTGCTGCTGCTGCTTACTCCGCCTCTCTGTATATGTCTCTTTCTTTCTGTTTCTCTTATGCAAAGGCCCCTCACGGGGCCCCGTGAGGGGCTCTCTGCATGTGGTTGTTTCTCTTCCACGAACATTCGAGGCCCCTCGCGGGGCCCCGTCGTTTCGTTGAAGGCCCTCTCGGGTCCCGAGGGGGCCTTATGAGCTACCTTTGAGGCATCCTGGAATAGGCTGGTGGCGCGGTACGGTGTGAGCGACCCCATCGCGGTCTTCGGGGGTCCTTGAGGGCCGCTCTGCGGGCGTCTCAGTTTGTCGAGGGCTGCGTTCGCAAAGTTGCCCCAGACATGTTGATAGTGACATTTTGGGGTCCGGGCCTCCTTCGAGCCCCCCGTCCGAGGCAGTCGAGGGCCCCCTGGAGCGAGCCTGCTGTGCTGCACTGCGCCTGCTATCGTTTTTGTGGCCCTTCTGGGGTCGGCAGACTACTCGGGAGAGCTCGGGGCAGAGACGGCCACGAAGCTCACGATGTGCGGCATGAGGTTGGCTGGAGTGCCAGGGGTGACGGAAAACAATCACGTCTCGTGGTGCGGCAGCGACGTGACCAAACGTTCCATCGACGTGATGAAATCGGAGTGCGTGCACGTCATCAAAGGTATCGGGGCGAAGTTGCCCCTGGCCGTGCAGAGAGGCCTCATCGCTCGAAGGCCCCCCGAGCGGCTGCTGGAAGTTGGCAAGCCCAAGTTGAGGCGCGACGAGGCGGGGGCTTCACATTTGGTTCTGAAGCTCCATGGTTCTTATCCTCTGTCGCCAGCTCACGTTCCAACTTGATTTCTTTTGTTGCGCGCACGTTAGCGCGTGTGCGCGCACATCGGTGCCGCGCGAGCGACCTGGGGAAGTTATCTTGCCAATCGAATCGGCCTTGAGTCGGAGCCTGGTGGGAACCTACACCCAGCAATGCAAATCTTGAGGCGTCGCCCGCCCAGACATCCCAGCCAGCCCATCCAGAAAGGAATTCTGGACAAGTCTTCACCGCTTCGCTCCTCCTGTAACGGCCTTGCATGCAGGCGCGCGTTGGCAGTTGCGACGCCCCATCCCCCTCTTCACATTCGCCCCGCCTCCCCGCCTTCGAATGAGACGGGGGGAAGATGAGGCGTAGGAGTAGGAAGACGAGAAGGAGGGGGATGAGGGGGGCGGGGTCGGAGAAGGAGGAGGGGGATGCGGCGGGGAGGTAAGGGGGTTGGACACGGTGGAGTTGGCCTGGGCCTGGCACAGCATCCCCCCGACAGGGCCTCCGGAAACAAGTGGAGAAGCATTACCTGAAGCAGAAGAAGTACTTGTCCACGGTCTGCAAGGATGTTTTCAAAAGTCGATATCTTCCGGCAGGGGCGTGTCTGCTGCATCCCGGGGCGACTTGCCCATGGCAGTTTCAGCCGAGCAGCGCCGTGGACTCAAAGCAGCGCCCACTTAGCGTTCATTGGTCCGGGCCGCAGTGCGTTGCTTGGACAAGGTGGGGCGCTGGGTTCCCAGGTCATTCGAAACGTTGGCGATGTCGATGTCCATCCCGCGATATGGAGGGGGGAGACCCCGTTTTTTGGAAATTGTGCCCCAGTGGTTCAATAGAAAGCATTTCAAGCCAGCGTGTGGCTTGTTGGCGGCCCAGGCTTCTTACCACTCGGGTTTTCATTCCTGGGGTGGCGAATGCATGGGCCTTCGGGTGGCATTTTGTTTCTGGTGGACACTCGGGCCCCAGCTCGCCCCTGTGGTTTCAAGCGCCCCTCTTTCAAAGTAGGGTCGGTCTTGTATAGGCGCGCCGTGTATCCCCACCAATCCATCGAGTAATGATGCCACGGCGACTTTCCTTGATCGGGGAAGCGCGGCATTACGCAGTGGAGCTCACATGGATTACGTAGGACTTCTCTCACCTTCAGTATCTCACTATTTCTTCCTTCCCGCACACATATATAGAAGCCTAAACCAGACCCGTCCAAGCCATCCAGTTCATTTTCTTTCGGTTGTCCCCCCAAACTTTATAATCACATCAGCGGCGTGTGATTGTCACGCTGCCACGATGACGCCAGGCGATTCGATATTTCGGATGCGAACCGATTAAATTTCCAGCAGTGTTTTCGTTCCCGGCCGCTGCGGCCCCTTATCCCGCCAGGCTCGGGCTGGCAGATCCGTCCGCCGAGCCCTGGAACATCTATACGGAGCAGTTGGGGGACCTGGCGGCCGACATCATCATCATGGAGAACAGCCCGGACATGCCAGCACATATGTTCAAGGACGCTTTCAAGTCCAAGGGGGAGTACGTGTTCGTCGACTTGGTGTTGAATCCGTTTTCGGATTGGGGCGTCCAGAGGAAGCGCCGGTGGCAGGCGGCGCTCAAGGTTTCCACGGTGATCTGGTCAGGCGCGGTGGGGGCCGAGGACCAGCAGGCCCAGTTCGACGCCATCTTCGGGCACGGCACGGACGGGCAGCCGCCCCCAGCGCCGCCATTATGCGATGCGTATCTGGTGTCTTCCGCGGACGAGGAGAAGGCGCATTGCAATGCGTTGGCGGCAAAGCGTGGCTTGTACCCGCGCCCTGGCCACACGGTCCCCCTCGGCGCGTGCTTGTCGGAGTGCTACTTGAAACACGCCCAGCTCCTGAAGAAGGTGCACCTCGTGTCCTGGAAGCACTCGTGCTTCGCCGCCGACATCTCCCAGAACCCGAAGTACTGCGTCCGCGGCGGCGACGCGCTACCTGCAGCAACCACGAGTTCGTTGTTCTTCTCTTTCTCTCAGGACCTCGCCCCGCTCGGGGGGGGGGCCCGACGATGCGAGGGGGACCAGAGCGGGCGAATAACGACAGAGGGGTGGAGGGAGAGGCGAGAGGAAAGGCGAGGAGGGGGGAGGGGGCCGGGGGGGCGGGGAGGGCGACGGGGGGAGGGGAGGAGGATGCGGATTCCAGTGGCAAGGTTTATGTTGATCCCACGTGTTCCCCGTCCGACAGGTTGGGGATATTCCATTTTAAGGACAGACCTCCCGACCCGCCCGCCCTGCGTACCGCGGCCGCCGGATCCCCAGGTCGTCCGAAAATCCGAGAGAATCACGCCCCCCGCCCTGCATACCACGGCCGCCAGATCCCCAGGTCACCCGAAAATCCCTGAGAATCCTGCCCCCCGCCCTGCATTCCGCGGCCGCCAAATCCCCAGGTCTCCCGAGTGTCACAGGTGACGAGCCTCAGGCTAACAGGTGACAGGCCTCCGGGCTACCCGGTGACAGGCTTCTGGGGTAACTGGTGACCGGCGCCGGAGCTAGCATGTCACAGCCTTTGGAGCTTACAGGTAGAAGGCTCGGGGCTAACACGTGACAGGCTTCGGATCTTACAGGTGACAGGCCTCAGGGCTAACAAGCGACAGGCGTCCGAGGGAACAGGTGGCAGACCTCTTGGCTAACATGTGACAGGCGTCGGATACAACAGGTAGAAAAGGCCTCCAGGGTAACGCATGGCAAATTTCAGGGCAAACAGGTGGCGGGCCTCAAAGCTAACAGGTGACAAGCCTCATGGTTAACAGGTGACAAGCCTCATGGCGAACTTGGCCCTGGGGGGCCCGAGGAATAGATGCGGGGTACGTTTGGTACCCATCGACACGTCATCATGAGCCCCAATCCGTGGGCCCCGTGATGCGGGAAGGTAATTGCAGGATTCGGCCGCAGCAATAGTAGTAGTAGTAGTGGTAGTGGTGGTGGTAGTAGTAGTAGTAGTAGTAGTAGTAGTAGTAGTAGTAGTAGTAGTAGTAGTAGTAGTAGTAGTAGTACTAGTAGTAGTCGTAGTAGTGGTAGGAGTAGTGGTAGTAGTAGTAGTAGTAGTAGTAGTAGTAGTAGTAGTAGTAGTAGTAGTAGTAGTAGTAGTAGTAGTAGTAGTAGTCGTATTAGTGGTAGTAGTAGTAGTAGTAGTAGTAGTAGTGGTCGTCGTCGCCTCGTCGTCGTCGTCGTTGTCGTCGTCGTAGTCGTATTCGTAGTCTGCCTCGTCTTTGTAGTAATAGTCGTCGTAGTCGTAGTAGTAGTAGTAGTGGTAGTAGTAGTAGTAGTGGTAGTAGTAGTAGTAGTACTAATGGTAGTAGTGGTAGAAGTAGTAGTAGTCGTAGTCGTAGTCGTAGTCGTAGTAGTAGTGGGAGTAGTAATGGTAGTGGTAGTGGTAGTAGTAGTAGTAGTAGTAGTAGTAGTAGTAGTAGTAGTAGTAGTAGTAGTAGCAGTAGTAGTAGTAGTAGTAGTAGTTGTCGTAGTAGTAGTAGTAGTAGTCGTAGTCGTAGTAGTATAGTAGTACTAGTAGAGTAGTAGTATAGTATTAGTAAGTAGTGTAAGTAGTAGAGTAGTGGGTATTAGTAAGTAGCATTAAGTAGTAGAGTAGGAGTAGCGTAGTAGTAGTCTAGTAGTAGTAGTATTATAGTAGTAGTAGTGTTAGTAGTGTTAGTAGTAGTAGTAGTAGTACTAGTACTATACTAGTAGTATTGATAGTAGTAGTAATAGTAGTTGTAGTAGTAGTTGTAATAGTTGTAGTAGTGCAAGTAGTAGTAGTAGTAGTAGTAGTAGTAGTAGTAGTAGTAGTAGTAGTAGTAGTAGTAGTAGTAGTAGTAGTAGTAGTAGTAGTAGTAGTAGTAGTAGTAGTAGTAGTAGTGGTAGTGGTAGTGGTAGTGGTAGGAGTAGTAGTATTAACGTAGCAGCAGGAGTAGTGGTGGAGGGAGGAGGAGGGGAGGAGGGGATGGGGGGAGGGAGGAGTAGAGCGAGGCGGTCCGAGAGGAAGGAGGAGGGAGGAGGACGGGGAGCAGGAGGACGGGGGACCAAGGATGATGGCTTGATGGCTACCAGGGGGCTCACTCTTCTCGGGGCCTCCTCGTGGAGAGTGACGCAGGGTCGGGCTTCGCGAACGCATGCCGTGCCGCAGAGGACCGGTTCTTCACCCCGAAGGACCTCGCATGTGCCCACGGGTGGCCGGTATCTGATGGCTTTTGGCCCAACCCGCCGCCATGCCTGGAATGTAGACCAGGCGCCCCCATGATTCTTCATTCCCGCTTGCGCGTAATTTTGTTCCCCGGGGTGTAACGAGCCCCATGTCCCAGCCACGCGGCCGATAAGTAGGCACTAGGCACGTGGCCGATAACAAAGCATTGTAGAGCTAGCGTATAGTGCTCGCGCTAAGCCGCGAGATGTTAAATGAAACGCCCGCGGGTGATCAAACGGTCAGAGAGAAGAAATGCGCACCGCCGGTGTCGTATTCGGATTCTTCTCGTGGCCCTCTTGGGCTTCTTAGGGGGGCTTCGAGGGTTGCCATGCCAAGTTTGGGCGGTCTGGGGGCGTTTTCTGGGTCGTTGCGGAAATGTCGGATACGATGCGGGGCGCTCGCAGGAGCGCCCCAGAACGCCCAGAATTCAGAGGTCCAGGAATCCCTGAAGACCCCTTGCGATGGTCAATTTGGGAATTTCGAGGGGACCTGAGGGCGCTGCATGCGGGACTTCGACTCCCGGTGGCGGACCCGGCGTGCGCGCGCACGACAAGTACATGCATTGCATCCCGAAGTATTTTCGAACGACGACGGCGGCCGCCAGCACATCCACCGCATCCGTGGGGAATGGATACCATATGGTGTCCGCTTCGAGGTGCCTCGCTGCGCGATGCCAGTGCTAACGAGCACGATACAGAATGGGTCTGGTGACATGAGGGCGTGGCGTGGAGGAAGGACAGGAGCTAACAGGGGGAGAGGCGGCGGGGGGCGGGGGGGGGCAGGGAAAGAGTAGCGCACAAGTGAACAGCCAGGTTTTTCATGTACCTGGTGTCGCATTGCCAGATGCGCGGCCGCGACCACTTGTGGGACAGGCACAACGATTTCTGAGCCACGGCTGCAAGAGTACGCCGGGGAATATTATGTGAGGGGAGGGGTAGGATGAGGAGGATGAGGAGGAGGAGGAGGAGGGGGTGGGATGGAATGAGGAGCAAAGGAAAGGCATCTCACACAGACGGGCTCCATGGATGGTTGATTTTCCGCGAATACGAGAAGGGGGCGCCCCCCTTTCCCGCCGGGAAAAAGGGGGGGTGAGCGCGGAGTTTTTTCCCAACCATCCTGTGGTGTTGGGCCCTCGTTTTCAAGAGACGGTGCCCCCGCGTTCCTCCTCCTTTTTGCTCCTCCCCCTCTTTTCTCCTCCTATCATCCTCGTCGTCATCATCATAACTATCATCATCATCGTCATCAGCATCAACACCATGGCCGCCATCATAACTGGGAGTATCCCGCGCCCCGAGGACACCACAGAAAAGTACCACGCTGCGCGTGGTACTTTTGGCTGCCCGCGCCCCGGGGACACCACAGAAAAGTACCACACTGCGTGTGGTACTTTTGGCTGTTATGTAGCATGAGCGCACGTGTAGACACCAGGGCGTTCCATTTGATAACGATGACAGGGCGTGGTCAAACGTGGTCGTGGCCGATGACGACGACGACGTCGGGGCGTGGTGGAGGCGTGGTGGGGGGTGTCGGTCGATTCTAGGCGGAGAATGGCGGTGTGGGCTGTCCCAAGAACAGAGACGACGACGACGACGACGACGACGACGACGAACACGACGACGACGACGAGGACGAGGAAGAGGGGGAGGATGACGACGACGACGACGACGAGGCTCCGCCAGGGCGGTCATTAGAAGTAATTTCAGCGGCCGTCGACCACGATGATGACAATGACGACGACGACGGCGGGGCGCCCGACCAACCGGAAAGTTCGAATTTGCCGGGCTGTCGTCCGCTCGGCCGTCGACCATGATGACGATGATGACGATGATGACGACGACGGCGGGGCGGCCGACCAACCGGAAAGTTCGAATTTCCCGGTCGGTCGTCTGCCCGGCCGTCGACCATGATGATGACGATGATGACGATGACGACGACGATGGCGGGGTGCCCGACCAACCGGAAAGTTCGAAATTTCCGGCCGGTCGTCCGCCCGGCCGTCGAACATGATGATAACGATGATGACGAGGACGACGACGACGGCGGGGCGGCCATCCAACCAGAAATTTCGAATTTTCCGGTCGGTCGTCCGCCCGGCCGTCGACCATGATGATGAAGATGATAACGATGACGACGACGACGGCGGGGCGGCCGACCAACCGGAAAGTTCGAACTTGCCGGTCGGTCGTCCGCCCGGCCGTCGACCATGATGATGGCGATGGTGACGATGACGACGACGACGGCGGGGCGGCCGACCAACCGGAAAGTTCGAACTTGCCGGTCGGTCGTCCGCCCAGCCGTCGACCATGATGATGATGACGATGACAACGACGACCGCGGGGCGGCCATCCAACAGGAAAGTTCGAACTTCCCGTTCGGTCGTCCGCCCGAGCGTCGACCATGATGATGACGATGATGTCGATGACGACGACGACGGCGGGGCGGCCGACCAACCGGAAGGTTCGAACTTTCCGGCCGGTCGTCCGCCCGGGCGTCGACCATGATCATGACGATGATGACGATGACGACGACGACGGCGGGGCGGCCGACCAACCGGAAAGCTCGAATTTTCCGGTCGGTCGTCCGCCCGGGCGTCGACCATGATCATGACGATGATGACGATGACGACGACGACGGCGGGGCGGCCGACCAACCGGAAAGCTCGAACTTTGCGGTCGGTCGTCCGCCCGGCCGTCGACCATGGTGATGACGATGGTGACGATGACGGCGACGACGGCGGGGCGGCCGACCAACCGGAAAGTTCGAACTTGCTGGTCGGTCGTCCGCCCGGCCGTCGACCATGATGTTGACGATGATGACGATGACGACGACGGCGGGGCGGCCATCCAACCGGAACGTTCGAACTTGCCGGTCGGTCGTCCGCCCGAGCGTCGACCATGATGATGACGATGATGACGATGACGACGACGATGGCGGGGCGGCCGACCAACCGGAAAGTTCGAAATTTCCGGTCGGTCGTCCGCCCGGCCGTCGACCATGAATGATGACCGTGATGACGATGCTGACGACGACGGCGGGGCGGCCGACCAACCGGAAAGATCGAACTTGCCGGTCGGTCGTCCGCCCGGCCGTCGACCATGATGATGACGATGGTGACGATGACGACGACGACGACGGTGGGGCGCCCGGCCGACCAACCGGAATGTTCGAACTTGCTGGTCGGTCGTCCGCCCGGCCGTCGACCATGATGTTGACGATAATGACGATGACAACGACGACCGCGGGGCGGCCGATCAACCGGAAAGTTCGAACTTCCCGTTCGGTCGTCCGCCCGGCCGTCGACCATGATGATGACGATGGTGACGAAGACGACGACGACGACGGCGGGGCGGCCGACCCACCGGAAAGTTCGAACTTTCCTGTGGGTCGCCCGCCCGGCCGTCGACCATGTTGATGACGATGATGCCGATGACGACGACGACGGCGGGGCGGCCGACCAACCGAAAAGTTCGAAATTTCCGGTCGGGTCGGCGGCCACGATCACGACCACGACCACGACCACGACGACGAAGGGCCACCACGACCTCGACCACGACCACGACGACAAAGACGACGACGACGCCGACGACGGCGACGACGACGACGACGACGACGACGACGGCGTCTGGTTACGGACGACGTCTGGTCACGGACGCCGCCCGTAACCAAACGCCGTCCGTAACCAAACGCCGTCCGTAACCAGCCGACGACGACGACGACGACGACGACGACGACGACGACGACGACGACGACGACGACCGCGACCACGACCGCGACCACGACCACGACCACGACCACGACCACGACGACGACGATCGAAGGCCCCACTGCCCCGTCCACATGCGCCCTCCACACCCACTTCGGCACGCCTGACTTTGTACGGGCGGAAAATTGCACATTCGCGCCCGCATAAATGTGACCCACAGCGGTGCGCAGGGGGAAAAAACGCTTCGGCGCACCCGGCGGCGCACCCCTTGCACTTTTCGTGGCCCCATAAGGAGCTCCACCGAAGGTGACATTCACAACTGCGTTACTTACAACTGCATATGGTTGGGTCTTTCGCCAGTCTAATTTTCCGCGCGCGCCGCAGGACGTGCAAGGGGAATGGGGGAGGGCGGCAATCCGCGATCAGAACCGCAGTAGCGCTCCCGCAGCGCTTCTTCTCAATAGCTCGACGCAGAACTGCCTGGAGTTTGCCGGGCTCGGGGTGGAGGAGTATTTCCCTTTTGTTATTTGATTTTTCCTGCCCTCTTGTATATCCATTCCTTGCTATATGCTGTTGTTGTGTCTTCCTTCCCGCCCTTCCCGCTACTCGGGGCGCCCGGGTGCCAGTGCGTAGATTACTGGAGGCGCAGGCGCAGCTGCCCAGGCTCGTAGAGGAGCCGGCGCTGAGGACATGGGCTAATTTCTAGACATCAAAGAAATATGGGGCCACTAGCAGCGGACAGTTGAGAAAAGGTGTGGCCATTGGCCATCGTTTGCAGCGAGCCCCATCCAGACCCATCTGGTGGGCGATGGGCCCGGGGGCCTGGCAGGCCCCAGTGTTACGGGATGTGGTGCATGTCAATGCCTGCGGCAATTTTTGTCGCCGTGCCAGCCAGCCACCGCTGGAACGTGCCAGCGGGCACGGTGGCGGATCCAGTAAGTCAATTCGGAGATTTCGCCTCGCCGCTTCGCAACGCAATATCCCCCAGCCTTCTCCTTCGTTGCGTTTCTCATTTCTCGGGCATGTCTTCGACGCCGAGTAGGGGGCCTCAGGGGGAGCCGCCGGCGTGCCGAACGAAGCCAGGGTTACATGTGAATCTCCAGACGGCTCGTTGCCGCACGTGGTCACGAAACAAACGAAACACCACGCCCATGGGCAACGGCTCCGAAAATCATCGGCGCAGCGGCGCCCGTAGTAACAGTTGCCCGCGTAAGGTCGCGCGCGAGCGCTGATTTTGCGTAAGCCATCGCGTCTCGTCCCGGCGGCCTTGCAGCGGAATCCATCCAGCAATTGTCATTTGATCATTGTGGTGATCCTCCCTTCCTTCTCCCTTCTTCCTGCTCCCCTTCCTTTCTCCCAAGTTCGAAGGTTTGCATTGCGTCGGCAGCCGTGCTCTCC